GCCTTCTTGCTACTGTTGTCACTGACCCTACCTTTGAGTCCATTGCTGCGTCTTCTCTAGTTGCTGAGCTTGTCGACTTCGGTGCTCGCTGCCGTCTAGATTACGCTGCCACTCTTGTTGCTGCGTCTGAATCTGTCTGTCCTCCGTCCGTCAGGGGTGAGTGTGCTCTTAGCACGGACGTCCTTGAGGACAGGCAGGAGGAGTTCCGGTGCTTTGCGGCTGCTTTGCCCCATCTCGTGTCCTCGCTGATTGCCCCTGAGGGAGACTCGGACGCACCAGACATCCCGACTCCTTGATCGTACGCTGAGGCGATCGAGGGTCCCTACTCCTCTCAGTGGCAGTCGGACATGGACGCAGAGATGGCTTCCTGGAAGTCCACAGGCACCTACATCGACGAGGTTCCCCCACCAGGGGCGAACATCCTCAGTGGCATGTGGATCTTCAGGGTGAAGCGACCGCCTGGCTCTCCGCCTGTCTTCAAGGCGCGTTACGTGGCTAGAGGCTTTAGTCAGCGGCACGGAGTTGACTACTTTCAGACCTTCTCTCCCACCCGGAAGATGACCACTCTTCGGGTGCTGCTGCACATAGCCGCTCAGCGCGACTACGAGCTTCACTCTCTTGACTTAAGCACAGCTTTCCTGTAGGGCAGCCTGCACGAGGAGATCTGGCTGCGCCGCCCTCTGGCTTGACTGGGTCGTTTCCTTCTGGTACCTAGTGGAGCCTCCGGCGGCCAGTCTACGGTCTCCGCCAGGCGCCCCGTGAGTGGCACGACACAGTGAGGACTACACTTGCGGCTCTTGTGTGTGCTCCTTCTACAGCCGACCCGTCGCTGTTTCTACGCACCGACACCTCCTTGCCGCCGTTCTACATCCTCGTGTACATCGACGACTTGGTCTTCGCCACTTCTGACACTGCTGGACTCGCCCACGTGAAGTCCGAGCTGCAGAAGAGACACACGTGCACAGACGTGGGTGAACTGCGCAGCTACCTTGGCTTGCAGATCACCCGAGACAGGGCACAGCGCACCATTACCCTGACGCAGTCACACATGGTGCAGCAGGTCCTACAGCGTTTCGGCTTCACGTACTCCTCGTCCAGGCCACTCCTCTGTCTACTCGCCACTCGCTCTCAGCTCTGCCTTCGGATGAGTCCGTAGAGTCGAGTGGCTCGTACCCAGAGCTTGTTGGCTGCCTCATGTACCTGATGACCTGCACACGACCTGACCTTGCATACCCTCTTAGCATCTTGGCACGCTATGTTTCTCCTGGGAGACACATATTAGAGCACATGGCTGCAGCGAAGAGGGTGTTGCGCTACGTGTGCAGTACGTCGGGCATGGGGCTAGTGCTTGGAGGGTGACGTCGAGTAGTCCTCACAGGTCACGCTGACGCTTCTTGGGCTGACGACCAGGCTCTGCAGCTGTCGTCACAGGGTTACACCTTCAGCCTTGGCTCCGATTCTGTTTCGTGGCGGTCTACCCGCTCGTCCTCTGTTCTCGGCTCCAGCTGTGAGGCTGAGATCTACGTAGGGGCCATGGCTGCACAGGAGCTACGCTGGCTCACCTACCTTCTGACTGACCTAGGAGAGCAGCCTCGTTCTCCTCCAGTTCTGTACGTAGACAACAAGGCCATGCTGGTCTTGTGTTAGGAGCACAGACTGGAGCATAGAACGAAGCACATTGCTCTCCGCTACTTCCTGTCTCGTGAGTTGCAGCAGTGGGGTCTGCTTCGCCTCACCTACGTGGCCTCTAAGGCCAACACTGCTGATATCTTCACCAAGGCCCTTCCGCCTTGTGATCATCAGCACTTCTGTACTGTGCTAGGTCTTGTGCCTACCTGGCCTCACGTGCTTACTTCTTCATCTTGTTTGCACTGTCTTGTTTCTATACCTACCCTTGCTTGTTTTACCTCTATATATACGTTCTTGCATGTGAATTGGCCGTGTGGCCCTACTCATGTGCTCGGACTGTGTGGTGACTTTGTGATCCACCCTGAGCTTGCTTTGCTTTGCTTGAGTGGTCTTGTGACCACTTGTTCTCCCCCACTTTGCCTATGGGGATGTGTCAGAACATTATAGCTTATACATTTGTGTAGGCTGTAGTGGGGTAGCCGATATGGGGTACAACCCAATTAGGGTTAGTACTTGTACCCAACTCTTTCATAGTTGAGTCATCCATTCTCACTTCTCGTCACTCCGTAGTTCAGTCCCTTTGAGTAGTGACTCTCCGGAGACGCAACTTATCATTTACGCTTCTAGGCGCTCTACATTAGTTGCTATTGGCTTGTGCGACTAATAGGCCACGTACGGTTGTTGAGATGGCTGTTAAAAAATCAGAAGCTTCGTGTCGATATCACATGGTACCTTTAGATCTGTGTGTGTGTGTGTGTGTGTGTATGTGTGTCTATATGTTTTTTTTTTTTTTTTTTTAGCTCTTAATCACCAGCCTTTCAAAATTGTTATGGTTGACTCTGTTGACGGCCGAATCTCCTCAAAGTCCCGCGACACCAGGGACTATATGTTAATATCAGGCGGTCGCCATATTCACGCGACATATTTAGCGAGGTGAAACGGAAGGCCTTCAGTGATTTTTTACTCGTATTATTCCCCCCATTTTTTTTTGTAGTGTCTGTAGTTACGAAGCTAGATGAAGTAACTTCAGCTTTGCAAATCCGTTTTGTGAAATTATACAGGGCTATTCGGAAAAATTAGCTCATTATTGTATATGGCTGGTGTAAATGCTTGCCTTGGCGAACTGTAAAGTATAGTATTGTTGTGTACGTGTTATGATTCTTACTAAGGTATATACGTACTAAATTTACAAGGATATTATCAATTTTCCGGTTATGAGTCATGCTATACTCGATCGGTGATCCACCATCCTACATCATGTTTGGGTAAATACCCGGTAATCAGAAGGCACTGACACATGCGCACTGGCAGTCCTGGAATCTAGGAGTCAATGATAGCCGATCGATAAATCGGAAAGCAGGTCTGTTGTGTGTGGGTTCTTGCGGCCGAGTTGCGGATGAGTTGCGGGTGAGTTGTGTGTTACCCCTGTATGCACACCTGTGGTGACTTTGTTGATACCACCTGAGATGACCCCTCACCCGCGAGGCAACCTCATCGAATGCATCTAGGTGGCCTCCTGGGGGTAACCTAGAGGTTACCCCGAGGTGAGTTAATGGTGACGTTTTTGGGGGTCGAGGTGGTTTCAACGCATGTCCAGACTTGACTTGTTACTGGAGGCAGAGGCTGCCGCGGGAAATCCGTCAAAAGCTTGCATGCTGGAAACCTTGTAGGTTCCTACGCATTTTCCCCACGACTCCCATAATCATGATTGCACGCGCTCAGGCTCAGCGCGCCCATCGTCTGGATCTGCTGCACTGTTTCGAGGTTCGTAGGGAACAAAGTCGCACATCACGGAAAATGAGTGGCGCGTGCAAGGACGGCCCACCCTTTCTCCCCCCTCCAAGACTTTCTTTCCCACGCGTTTTGTTTTCCGTCATAGTGCTACTATTGCTAGAATTTACGTTCCAGCAATATTTGTTTTTTTTTTCGTGCGTAACATATCCCTTAGAGACTGCAGAGGCACGTCGACGCCGCAAATGCCGCCGCCAAAGCCAACTCTGATGCAGCAACGGGCATGGCTTGTGCTCGCCGCCGTGCTTTGGGTTGCCGCGTTCGTCTCCCCACCGTGCGATGCACAGCCGATCAAAGCTTCTCAAGGTAACACCTCCTTGCGCCCCTACGAAGTTCGTTGGGGGGGACTTAGGTACAGTGTTTGTTACCCCTGTATATGCAACTGTGATGACCTTGTTGGTAACACCTGAGGTGACCTCATACCTGCGGAAGTAACTCATCGATACCTCTAGGTAAGCCTCCAGGGGGTAACCTAGAGGTTACCCGAGGTGAGTTTGCAGGATGGAAGCATGGAAGGTTTCCACGGCGCTTCTTCCCCAGGACCCAAGGAATCATGATTGCATGTCCTCAGGCAGCGCCCCCATCGTCTGGATATGCAGTGTTTCCAACTTTTTTTTCTTCATAAGATTTAGCCAGTAACGTTGCTCTTCCCTTTTCTTATCGCATGTGGGAAAACAGAACATAGGTAACTTGATTGTTCGCGTATGAAACGATCGAACGTCACAATTGTGTTGGCACTGCGCATGTCCAGCATGCAGTGGGTATAAGCCACGTGGAAAGTCTAGAGAGAGTTCATGCGAAGTGTGTTCAGTGTTGATACTGGGTATGTCCCACTATGTCACGAACATATTGGTTGGTATATGCAGGCTGTAATGTACCTATACATGGCAGTGCACATGTGGTTTGAACACACCCCCTACTCCCTCTCCAGCATAAAACAAGGCGCATTCGTTCCCTCAAACCAACCCCTCACGAATGCAGTATTTGGGATGTCTCACGGTGCTCTCGATATTTCTTCTACTAAGTAGTACTACCTATAGTAATAGCAGTGTTAGGGGCAAAGTTCTCTCCCTGGTAACCGATGCTAGCACCTCCTTCACTCTTGCGCAAATTTCATCGTTGGTTTCCTTTGCGGTTTCCAACAATATGCCGGCACCAGGCTGCTAGTACAGGCGTAGGCGATAAGAACCAATGCATCACAAGTTTCTCCCCTCCCCGTACTTGCACGTATCTCAGTTCATAGGAGCCAGCACTGAGTATGCAACTGGTAGCAGCAATACGCATGTGGTTTGCACTGCTGCAGTGCATAATTTCTGGCCTCACTTGCTCTACCAGCCACACAATTGCTAGATGTGGCTCCATCATCATTGGAGAATTCCTTGGTTATCTATTTAACAAGTGCAAGTAGTATTCATTTGTTCATCTCAGCTGCAAAGAAATGCACCTCTGAGGTGCCTATACCTGCTCATTACCATGTGCCTCTGAAGCTGTCCATGTATTGATATATGCCTTCAAGTACAAGCATGCATTGGTGATCCTGGTCCAAGCTCCTCTCTCTCTTGCTTGTCCCCAACTGTCAGCGGCATTTCTCCGAGACTGCCAAAAGGCATGGGGTATGACGTTCCCAGGCTGGGCCGTTGGAGGTGACTGTAGCAGTGCTGTAGGACTCACCTGTGACGAATCAGGCATGATTACCAACATGTGAGTTTGCTTTTCTTTCTAGGATACATTGGACCTCATAACATGCCATTGATGTCCAGCAGGATTGATGTGATTAACACCATTGTTTTCTGCGTAGGGTCATTGCAATTTGAGTGGCACTTGTGTCAACGTCCATCCATCTTCTCTCTTCTTTCATTCTACCCACCCACCCTCATAGATATTTGAGAAAATCAGTTCTTGGAGGGTCTATTCCTGATAGCATCTCCTCACTCAATTCTCTTATGAGTCTGTAAGAATGGCTGTGCTTAAGACGACGAGCTTGCCTTTTTTTTCGTGCACACTCGTTCATGCTTATCTGCAGTCCTTCCATAGGAAGTATGGTAGTGTGAGACTCCCACTGGGAGTAAATGACATGTCTGTAGGATAACTGCCGGAAATCCAGCAAAGGCAGTGGCAATGTGTTGGTGCCGCAAGTGGCGGGCCTAGATCCTTGCTCCTGTCCTTGCACCTTACAAGCTGGAGGTATTCGTTGATACTCACTATCAAGCATTCCACTCCAAGCATTATCTTCCAACCACTTTCCACTATGTGAAACCAGAGATATGTCGGGCTGTGAGCTCAATGGGCTTATTCCAGCTGGGATTGGGAACCTCACTTCATTGCAGCACATGTAAGTACATGCTGCAATCGCATGATTCGCTCGGATATGGTGTTTAGGGAAAGAAGGGTGTTGCAGTGTATGCGGTATTGTGCCTGGATTGTAATCATGTGTTATTGCTCTCTCGCATGCCCATCATCCTTGTGTCTCTAGTGCTCTCTTCCACCTTCCGCCCGCTACACAATCTGTATCTTTTTGTTCGTCCCACTTCTGATTTCCCTGTTAGGTTGGACTAACCATTCATTCTAATTTATCTCTCTCAATGCAACCTGCATGAGACTAAGCATTTATCACGTCCAATTCCCACCTCTGTGCCAGAAATTTGTTTGACAACCAGCTTTCTGGGCCTATTCCAGTTGAATTTGGAAACCTCACCAATTTGTCTCGGCTGTGAGTTGCTTGACGCTTGCTGCTGCTGGGTCCTACAATTTGTTGAAAAGCAAAGTTTGTTTCATGTGGGGAGGAGTGTGCCCGATGTTTTCCACGTAGGCATTGCTTATTCAATAAAGCAATTCCTACACCGGCGCTCGTTCTCCCTTGAGCACTCGTTGAAGCATTGCCTCCCTCCATTCTCTCCTCACACCCGTGAGCCACTTTTGTGCGTATGCTTGCTGTCTCTCTGGCCATCCCCATACATCTCCAAAGCATTGCCTTGTCCGTCTCTTGTCTTGTCTCACTATACTAATTAATGTGAAAAGCTTACTCTGAATGATCCGCCAAGAATCTTGCATATTATATGCTCATCGTATCAACTTGCCAATTACAACAATGTTCATGTTCATTGTGTCTCTGGAGGTCTTCCTGCCCGGTTGGAAAGCATGCTAAATGGTACCTTCACATGAGCAGCTAAATGCTAGCGTAGCAGTTAAATGCGCCCAGCAGCATGTACGGCCTCACAGCTCGTTCTTCATGTGATTTGCAGAGCTATTTGTTGAGTCATGTCATCCTTCCTTCCTCCGCCACCAGGGCTCTGTCGGACAATAAGCTTACTGGATCTATTCCAGCGGGACTGGGAAGCCTCATCGCACTACAATATTTGTAGGCTATCTTACTAGGCTGTTGTTGTGGACTCGTATTGCTTGTATGGAATGCTACTGTCTGAAAGTAGAGGCTATATGTTTTCATCAAACTGATTTTCCGAAGCAATTGGGCAAATGGAAATTCATACGAGGCAGAATGACACCCATTGCATCCCCTTGTCCACCCTAGCATCCTCCTAGTCACATCTTGTCCATGTTCTCCCCGTTTACTCCTCTTCTTTAGCCTGTTTGACCCACTTTATCCCTCACAGCCAGTGGCAAATTCTGTGCTGATTTTCCCAGTGTCTCCCTTGCTCATTCCCTAGTGCCCCACAAAACGTTTTCCAACCATCCTTATAACGTCTCACCACCCACTGGGTCAAAACAGGGGTTATCTTTGAGGTGCAGTGGAGGCACTCAACCCTTACGCGTGATTCCTGCTGGAACTCAGTTCTTGCCTGATCACACCTTTGGGTCACTTGTGCGTGCTTGCAGTCCCTTTAGCCATGCTTAAAGATCTCATCTCTTAACTTCTACCAACCAACCTACCCTCACACACAGGCTTCTCTCGAACAACGCTTTGACGTTCTCCATTCCCGACAACCTCTCCTCGCTTGTTAATCTCAATTTTATGTACGAAGCACCTTGTCTGTTGTGAATGCCTCGTGTAGGCCTCGTGCTAAGCATGAGAGGAGTGGTAACCACCTTGAACGGGCTGCATGAAGACTTCAAATTGCGTTCAAAGGGATGGTTGTGTTGCCAGCTACAACACCCCATGTCTAGTTTCTGCAACCAAAATGACCATTGATTGGTTCTATTCATTTCCAAGTTCAATGATTGACCAGCATTTGGTACGCTTGGCCCTCCCTCCCTCTCCATTCTCCTTCTCCTTCATCCTGGGCCGTTGTTTTCATCGTCTGTCGGGCAGATAGATGGGAATCACTTGAATGGAACCATTTCGCCCTCTCTAGGGACACTCAGCTTGCAGTGCCTCGAAGTATCATGGCATCAATCATTGAATATCCCAGCCATGATTGGTTTTGGGGTTGAAAACATTGAAAGAAACGTATGGCTGATTGCACTACCAGATCAGCACTGTTCCATCAATATCGCTTGTGTGTGCTTGTTGACCCTCTGGCCATGCCCACAAGTCTCATTTTTCTCTTCTACTGACCTTCCTTCTTTTGCACACAGAGATATCTCAAACAATGCTTTGACGGGCTCCATTCCGAACTGTTTGTGCTCGTGTGGTGATGTCGACGAATACACCTTTTATCTGTATGAAGCTCCTTGTCGGTTGTAGGGATGAGCAAGGGGCGAACACGAACACGTTCGTGGTTGCCCCTACACGAACACCTTCGTTTGCCGAACCGAACACTGTTCGGTTCGGCGAACACTTTGAGCAAAAAATGGTGTTCGCCGTTCGCCTGTGAAGGTGTGTTCGGGCGAACCTCGAACACTGTTCGTGTTCGTCGCGGGCAAATTTCAGCAGCGGCCCGAACACGAACGTGTTCGGGCGAACATCGAACACTGTTCGGCGAACAATTTAAGCCAAAAAATAACGAACAGGTGTTTCCTTTTTTTTGCTCAACCCTAGTCGGTTGTCTATGCCTGAGTACGAGGCAACTGGTTCATGTATCGTGCTACGCATGAGAGGAGGGGTAAAGACCTTGAGTGGGCTGCTTAGGAACGTCAATTTGCGTTTTAAGGGATGGTTGTGTTGCCGGCCACAACGCCCCATGCCACGGTTGTTTCTGTAACCAAAAGGACCATTGATTGCTTCTGTTCATTTCTAGGTTTAAAATGCAATCCATTGCAATGATTGGCACACACGATCCTCCCTCCCTCTTCTTCATTTTCCTTCTCCTTCATCATGGGCTGTTGTTCTTTATTGTCTGTCAGGCATGTAGATTCGAATCACTTGAATGAAATCATTACGCCCTCTTTTGGGGCCTTACTCAGCTTGCAGTGCCTGAAAATATAGTGGTAAAAATCTCTGGATATCCCAGCCATGAGTGGCTTTGAGGTTGACAACATTGAAAGAGTTGTATAGCTAGTTTCACTACCTAATCAGCTCTGTTTCATCAATATCGCTTGAGCGTGCTTGCTGTCCCTCTGGCCATGCCCGCGAACCTCACCTCTTCACTTCTACCGACCTACCTACCCACACACATAGGAATCTCTCAAGCAATGCTTTGACGGGCTCCATTCCCAGCAACACCTTCTCACATTTTGATCTCCGTTATCTGTACGAAGCACCTTGTCTGTTGTCTATGCCTCAATTCGACCCAACTGTTGAGATTAGGTTTGTGGGAGCCATGGCTGGTGAGAGAAGAGGCGAGAGAAAAGTTGCATTGAACAGACGTGTGTACAAAGTGAAAGAACTGGTTGGGCAAAAACCCAACTAAACGTAGAGTGCTTTCAACGTAGGAGCCAACTGCAAAATGAACCTAAACTCAACCAGAAATGAAATTTGGCCGAAATGGTAATATACCTTAGTTGTCGAGCACGTTCGAGACGAGCAGAACATTTTTTTTTTTTTTTTTTTGCCGAATCTGCTCGTGGCGAACATGTTCACTGTTCGTTCCTTTGTAGCTAGCCGAGCCGTGACGAACACGAACATGTTCGTGCTCCTTTGTGTTCGTCGGAAAGGTCCTGCGACACATTTGTAGGTCGATATTGGGGCACATTCTTGAGCTCGACTTTAGCTACACACCAAGTAACACCAAGACACACCGGCAGCAATACTACCTTCAACACTCTTTAAATAGGTTGGCGCTAGGCATGAGCAAAAAACCAAACCGCGGCAAGTTTGGTTCGGTTTGGTTCGTTTTTTGCAAAACCATATCGTTGTTTTTTGCTTCCGGTTCGTCAATGAACCCAACCGGTTCATGCAGTTCGTTCCCGCCAAACTTCCGAGGCGCGACATACCAACCTTGGTCATGCAAGTTCCAATATAACCCAAAAGACAAAGAGTTGGAGCTGATTTCAAGCTTTGACACTTTACGAATTTCCCATTCCACCTAATATTTATATGTCTCGTATGGTTCTTTTTTAGTTTTCAGCTGGTATGACCACATTTGAACAGGGAAAATAAACCGCTTAGGTTCGGTACCGAACCGGGCCGGTTCGACCGAATTGGTTCGGTTTAAACTACGAACCACGAACCGGTTCGGTTCGGTAGTGAACCCGTTTGGTTTCTATGGGATAAGAACGAACCGGTTCGGTTCGGTACCGTGCTCGCAATCAATTTTTAGTAATCTACAGAGACTTTGGGTAGTTGATATTAGGGTTTACAGTGTTTCTAAGGAAACACCTGCGCTGGCCATTGAATTTGGGTTCCTTAGGTGCTTCTCTTGAAAACATTCGCCGCACTACCATACATTTTGTAAGAAATCCAACTTGATCAGCGAGGTGAACGGCCATCGGCAGGCAGGTTAGCTGGAAATTGTGATGTGTGACTATCATGAGGGCTTCTGCTTAGGCGAGCAAGAACATGTTCTTGGTAAACATGCTCATGCTTAGGCAAAGACCATTAGTTTACACCCCCAGCTGCGAACAGGCGAACATTTATTATGTAAAAAGTGTTCGTGGCGAACCGAACATGTTGGTGTTCGCCCCTTGCTCAGGTCTAATTTACCCTTTTCCAGGTCGGGTAAACATAAACTTACTCGCAATTGTATGTTTACGTTTCTGCGCTTGTAAAATTTTGTAAACTCGGCCGGGCAGGCCAGAAAAATCCTGAAATCGAAGAAATTTCAGACGACGACCCCATTTCGACCTAACGCGGGTTGAGCGCGGAGCCTTGCGAAAGTTTTCGTAAATGCTCGCATGCTCTCCAATTCGATAACGGGCTCAAACGGTCCGGACCGTGAGCGGGATACCCGTTTTGCACGCCGTCTGTACCGCGTGGTTTGGAAAAAAGTTACACGCCCTTAGTATGACGACCCTCACTTACAAACTCGTCATCTATACCAGACATTCGATCTACTCATGATTTCTATCTACCACTCATCTAAAAATTGATAGTAACTAGATTGAAGAACTTGTGTGCGGAACCCTGCATTTTTTGAACCCTAGCTTGTTGCGACGGGCAGTGTGAACCGATTCCCACACTGCCCAGTTGCGCTCAGACAAGGCGGCTGACACAGGCCATGTAAGGACACGGCACACAAGCCTGGACAGCTCGGGATTGTCAGTCCCATGCACCATCGAATGCTTTCCAGCCCTCATGGCCTCCCTTTTTGCAATGGCCTCAAGAAGGCCGAAGGAGCCTTCCAAGTTGACGAAGGCCGTGAGCCCCTTCTGCACCAAAAGGGAAATACACCTCTTCTCACCGTCCTTACGTCCGGCCAACCTCATGCAGGGCGCATGCGAGGACTTCATCCCAACGGCGCCTCACAATCCTCTCTATCTCTGCCAATTCCGCCCTGGACAAAGAACCCTCCCCTCCTCTCCTCCTCCAGCTTCTCGTTCATGTCCTCCATGAGCTGAAGCATCATGTCATAAATAAGGCCCATCATGCCCTTTCACATTGAATCCGTGGCCCTTAGCACCACGAATGAAAGCTGCAAGAGATCCACCAGGTAGGGGTGAGCAAGGGGCGAACACCAGTGTCCGCCGAACCGAACACTGTTAGGTTCGGTGAACAGTTTAATAAAAAAAAGGTGTTCGGTGTTCGCCTGTGAGGGCGAACACCTTGCTGCCACAGGCGAACACGTACGTGTTCGTGGCAAACACGTTCGTGTTCACCCATGGGGCATGTTCAACATAGTCATATTCACACAGACTGGCGAGCTCAAGAGGTAGGCCTTGCACAATGAACAGTGGGGAGGGTTGTGGATGTTTACGTGTCCATGCAATGTGCCAAATCCAAATACAACACTATCCCTTCAACAACACTACTATAGTATTAGTTCAAGCTACAGCCTAATCACACAACTTGCTACCACGCCATGGACCCACTTCCTCCAACCTCATCATCCCCGCCCCTCTCTGCGTCTGCCTCCACATGCTCCTCCTCCTCCTCCTCTTCCTCCTCCTCCTCCTCCTCCTCCTCCTCCTCCTCCTCCTCCTCCTCCTCCTCCTCCTCCTCCTCCTCCTCCTCCTCCTCCTCCTCCACATCCACCCCTTCGCCCTCAATGGCGAACTCGGGCTCTCCAACTCCTCTCCTACGCCGGCCCTCGCCGATCCTCTGACCAGGGTGTGAACTGTACCATGACCTGAGAATCGTGACAGAGCGCGTCCTCTCAGAGGCCAGGCTGTGCCGCTTCCATGAGATGAGGTTGCGGCCGAGAGAGAAGACCCGCTCGCTCGTAGCGGACGTCGCAGGGATGGCAAGATAATCTCTTGCCATATGTCTCAGCGTCTGCATGTTGGTGGCTGTGCGCCAGTACTCTAGCGCTGTCACATCCGGCCGCACCTGCTCGGACAAGTACCTGCTAACTGTTAGGGTGGTTCGCCACTGCCCTAGTGCCTACCGACCTACGCACTTCACCTAGGGATGGTAGCACGACACTATGAACGGTGGGAAATGTCGACCTAATGAGGAGAACCGACAGCTATAACGGTGGGGCTGCATGCTAAGGAGGGAAGGCGAGAAGAAAGCGGGAAAAACAAAATGGTGGGAGAGTGGGTTTCAGGAAATGTTGAGAAGACATTTCCGTAACCTAAAATGTCAAACCGCAACCGAACCGTGTTCGGTGCGAATGAGACAACCAGGTTTCGGTTCCGGTGTCGGTTACCGAAATCGGTTCCGCATGCGACTCCGGCTGAAACGCGGATGACACGTTACGCGAGGCGCACATCACATTTCGAAATGCTTAAATGTGTTTGTTTTCAATCAGTTCTTTGTACTTCTCTGTTTTGAGTGAAATCAGTCTTAAAAAACCAGAAATTCTCTCCAAGCATTTACTACCTTCAACGCTAGCCGGAGGTTATACCAAAACTAAGACTAACCTCGTCATCCGGCACCAAACCACCCCCCCCCCCCCCCCCCCCCCCCCCCGCCGCCTGGCTCGCCGACAGACGTGCCGCAAGTCGTCGGCGACTAGGAAGATACTGCGCGTCCTCGTCATCCCCCTCCCCCCCCCCTCATCCTCCTCCCTGACGGTGGCAAGCGTAGTCGGCCGGGGAGCAAGCTCTGCAGCCCGGGCCTGGTACTCGGTGACACGCTCTCGTACCAGCGTGATCACCTCCCCGGACAATGGACGCGACCTCTCCCTCCTCTCCGTCTCAGGATGCTGCTTCTCCCAGTGTGCGTCATCGAACCACGCCGCTTTCATGGAGGGGTCCAGGAAGGTGGTGATCCAGTACTCGTTGCTGGTGATGTAGGCGTACTTCTTGAGATGGCCAAGCGCCGCCACGACCATCGGCCTCAACGTGGCAGACGGCCCCTTGGCCAGACACGTCTCCATGGCGTCGATCAAACCGTTGTAGTACGGCACCACCATCGACACCGTCGGATACGCCGCCCCTTCAGCGGCCTTTGAAACCTTGGCGAAGGGGCTGATGAAGGTCTTCACCGCCTGCATACTCTCCCAGTCCGCGTCTGTCAGGCGCATCTTCTTTACCTTCTTCTTGTCGTCCTTCGACAGACCCTGTCAATGTGCGGGATTGGTATGGTATGGTTTGGGCGAGTGTACATTAGACTCATGGGTTAGGGAGCATTTTGGGTTCATGCAACATACAAGCTCGAAGAAAAGAGTTGATCAACCATTTGAACACACCCTGACTGATCTGATCTGATCAACCAACAATGCACACAACTGTCATACCTGGGAAGAGGCAAAGTACACCGTGATGGGGTTCTGCAGTTCACAGGTGCGGTCGACCATGTTGTACGTGGACCCCCACCTAGTGGGACTGTCCTGCACCAGCTTCAGTGGCTTCTTGATGATGTGTGCCTGCGTGTTCAAGGTCTGCTGAAGGCCCAAGAAAGCCGCCGAGCGCTGCGGTGACAATCCTATCCACGTGGCCATGGCTCTTAGGTAGGCATGATCATTAGGCCCGACCCGACCCGACCCGACCCGACTTGGGCGGGCCAGCCGGGTTCCGGGTCGGGTCGGGTCGGGTCGGCACTTCTAGGAATCCTGGCCCGACCCGGGTATCGGGTGCCGGGTCAGGCTTGACCCGCCCCCGGGTCGGGTCGGGTAGGGGCCGGGTCGGGTCGGGTCGGGCCAGAACCCCATATGCAGTGTGTAGGGGTTTCCTCACTACTGTCCAGTGTTGCAAAGATTGAATGTTTGTGTAATATATTATTATATGAACGTCCTCCCTTCTGTAAATTAACTTTTCAAAATTGCGTAAACTGTTACACGTGTTTGGAAAAATCCTACAAAGGCCTAAAAGCTAACGGAGTCAACTAGTAGTTCGACGCACAGGAATAAGAACCAATCAAGTTTTGGTCCGATCACGTTATCTGATGAAGTTAAGGGCATGAGCATCAATTACGAACAAATATCACAACCCCCTCGATTCATCCTCCACTCCCAGGGTGGGATTGGCCGTTGAGGTGCCCTTGGGAGCGAGAGTCCCCGAAGGGTGGTGGTCTTGCCACGTCTTAATCAGCATGGAAGCACGCACTTGGCCAGCTGCCAGTCGGTGTCGCTGCCAAGTAATGATGTTCCTGCTCTGTCAGAATGCGCGCTCACTCGCTGCTGACGAAGCCGGTACCCCCAGATAATCTTTAGCCATCGCCCTCAAGCCCTTCAGTGTCTCCCTGCTGCGCCAATACTCCAATGCGCTTCCACCCCTCTGCCTCCCCTCTGCGAGGTACTGATCCACCTCATCCTGTGGATCCTCCCCCTCTTCGGCCTCCATGGCGTCCCACGCAGCGAACAACTGAGACTGGATGCTGACATTTGCCGATGCATTCACAGCCCCACCCCCTGCCGACGCATGCACCCCTGCACCCCTCGCACTAGTTACCTCCCCACCATCTCCCAGCGCCGTGGTGCTGGCTGCCTGGTACTCTGGAAGGCGCGCCCGGACCAGGGCCTTCACCCTATCAGGTCCTAGCTCCAGTGTCGCCCCTCTCGAATTCCCCTCTGCTGCCCTGGCTCGGTGCTTGAAGGGTGCGAGCTTCTGGCGCGGGTCCAAGAAAGTGGCTATCGCTGCCTCCTCGCTCACACCCCCCATGTGCCGCTCCAGCTTGCTCAGAGCAGCAGTGATCAGCGATGAGCGCAGAGGGGAGATGCCAGGAGTGAGCTGTGCCTTCTCCTGCAGATCAATCAGCGCGTTGTACTGCGGTACAACGGCTGAGAGGGTAGGGTACAGGGAACCCTCGGCGAAGAGGGTGACTTGCTCGAATGGGGTGAGGAAGTCTCGGAGCTCGGCGAGGTCGTCCCAGTGCGCATCCGTCAACCTGATGGCGTCCCACGCCTTCTTAGTCTCCTTGCTGATGGATGACTGGTATGGGTCACATGGGTTGTAAAGATGGAGGCACAGCATGGGATGGTGGCACATGCATGGGATGGTGGCACATGCATGAGATGGTGGCACATGCATGGAATGGTGGCACATGCATGGGATGGTGGCACATGCATGGGATGGTGGGACTAGCATGGGATGGTGGCACATGCATGGGATGGTGGCACATGCATGGGATGATGGGACATGCATGGGATGATGGCACATGCATGGGATGGTGGCACATGCATGGGATGATGGGACATGCATGGGATGATGGGACATGCATGGGATGGTGGCACATGCATGTGATGGTGGCACATGCATGGGATGATGGGACATGCATGGGATGGTGGCACATGCATGTGATGGTGGCACATGCATGGGATGATGGGACATGCATGGGATGGTGGCACATGCATGTGATGGTGGCACATGCATGGGATGGTGGCACATGCATGGGATGGTGGCACTATTCAAGCCATGCCCACGTACCCCCATTCGCCATAGTCACAAGCGAATGTGAATCCTACCATACGTACATCTGAATCGTCGAAAAACATGGCAATGGGCATGCGCAGCTCGAAGCCCCCGTTCACCATGTGGAGTGTAGAACCCCATCTCGTCAGGCAGTCCACGATCAAACGCAACGGACCCGATGGTCGCCGAGAACCCGGAGGACCCTGGGGCCGGGTCTAGGGATGAGCAAGGTGGCGAACACCTGTTCAGTTCGCCTCGAACGTGTTCGAGGCGAACCAAACAGGTTTTGTTTTTCAGCTTAAATCGTTCGCCCGAACGTGTTCGATGTTCGCCCGAACACGTTCGTGTTCGTGGCGCTGCTGCAGAACGCCCCGTGGCGAACACGAACGTGTTCGAGGTTCGCCCGAACACGCCTCCACAGGCGAACAGCGAACACCTGTTTTTTCCTAAACTGTTCGCCGAACCGAACAGTGTTCGGTTCGGCAAAAGTGGGTGTTCGACAAGGGGCGAAGACGAACATGTTCGTGTTCGCCCTTTGCTCATCCCGGCCCGGGTCGCCGCGTATCCCTTCTGGAGCTCGAAGAAACGATCTGTGCGCAGTGTGGACCAGCCGATGTATTTCGCCACGTCTCGCAGCCTCTTGAGTGGCTCGGCCACCTCGTCAACCTTCAGTGCAGCTTGCACTGCAAGGTTGACGACGTGCGCCATGCACCTGTTGGGGCAATGCATTGTGCAGAGTGGGTTTAATGTCAGTGTACCACATAAGCACTGCCATAACAAACATGGTGGACTACGCCAACAGTTTATAGCATACCCTTACGGAGACAGCCCCATAGTACCTGAAGTGCCTCCAGCGACTGAGCAGTGGTGGGTGCCCGGCGAGCAGACGCATCGCCCTGCTGTTGTTCTCGGCGTTGTCACACGTCACGGCGAACAACATCTTCTCCAAGCCCCACTCCCTCAACACCTCCTCCAGCTCATCGGCTATCAAGTCCCCCGTATGAGAGCCCTTAAGCTCCCTGAAGTCTATAACAGCCTGTTTCAGCTGGAAATCGCTGGTGACATAGTGGGCAGTCACCCCCATGAAGGCCACGTTGTTCTCACCGGTCCAGATGTCAAAGGTGAGGGACATCCTTCCCGCCAGGCCATCACCCACCAGTAGCTGCCGCATGTCCTCCCTAAGGATGAGCAAGGTGGCGAACACCTGTTCGGTTCGTCTCGAACGTGTTCGAGGCGAACCGAACAGGTTTTGTTTTTTAGCTCAAATCGTTCGCCGAACAGTGTTCGATGTTCGCCCGAACACGTTCGTGTTCGGGCCGCTACTGAAATTTGCCCGCGACGAACACGAACAGTGTTCGAGGTTCGCCCGAACACGCCTTCACAGGCGAACGGCGAACACCATTTTTTGCTCCAAGTGTTCGCCGAACCGAACAGTGTTCGGTTCGGCAAAAGAGGGTGTTCGACAAGGGGCGAAGACGAACATGTTCGTGTTCGCCCTTTGCTCATCCCTAGTCCTCCCTAGCAGCCTCCCCGTATGCCTGCATGTCCCGTGCCAAGCGATGGCGTGAGCCGAGCAGTAGCGCAGCTCCCGGGTTCAGCATCTGGACAAATGCTTTGAACTGTAACGCAGGAGTCAAAGGATGTCGGTAAAAGGATTATGAAGATGCTTTGGGATTAGCCAACAGAATGCAGTGCGGCTGCCCTGCACTAATATGACCACCTCAATACGAAGATGAACATGACCAACGGCAAGAGAACGGCGTCACTCACCTCACGACACTCAACAAGTCGAAACGGAAGGTCAGCTGCCGCAAATAGCTGCACCAATCCCTCGCGCAACTGCTGGCCATGAACACGCGGCGTGACGAATGCGGCCATGCTCATCTGCCTACTCCCATCAGCCTCGGATCCGCCAGTCACTGCGCTGTCTGGTGTCTGTACAATCCTGGGCCACGTGGCTGCATGCTCCCAAGGCCACGCTGTCTGGTCGGGGACATCCGGACCCCATCCCCCATCGGGAAACGTCAGGTTGTCTGGCTTGTTTGGATCCTTGAAACGCCGACACCAGATCTGCAGACTGGGGTAGTGGCTCCTCTTGAGGTGTCTCTTCCCCGTGCTCGTGCAACTACCTTTCCAGCTAATCTTCTTCTTGCAAATCTTGCAATTCCTAGCCTCTTTCACATCCTTCTCACTGAACATGCCACGAACCAGCCCGGGTTCTGCATTCCTAAGCACCTCCTCAGTCCATGGGTCCAGCTCCTCGTCGGTAGGGGTCCTGCCCGCCCTGTCGGATCTCTGGCTTGCTTCAGCCCCCGCAGACCCACCCAAAGGTGCACCACCTGCCGCAGCGGCGGAGGTACCTGCCCCTGCTGCGCCCGACCCCTCAGAACCACCCGCGGCTGCCCCCTGCGGCTGCGAACTCGACGCCGGCCCGGCCCCTCCAGCTCCCGACCCCACAGGCCCACTCGTGCGTGGCCTCTTTGTTGCTGCACCGCTGCCACGCGCGCCACTGCCACCAGCCTGGCCCCCTCCTCTCCCTCCCCAACCCTCATCACCCGATCCTCCACTCGTGCCGGCCGCCTCCCCCGGAGCCGGCCTCCAATCCGGGTCCTTCTCCTTTCCTCGTGTTCCTTGCTCCTCCGTCACTGGGCCAGGTCCTTGAGACTCCCATTCCCGCACCTCTTCACGCCTCCTCGTCGCGATTGCATCGTCCCACCCAATTTCCTGCCCATTGAAGACGCTCCCCAAGCGAAAATTGGCCCTGGAGGCCGGTGTCGGGAGGCCTCCAAGCGAAGCCCCAGGAATAGCACGTGAGCTGTCTTCTTCTCCCTCCATTCGCGTGCAAGCGGCGTCGATTACGTTTCGGACCTTGGAGTCGCGACGTTTTTGTAATGGCGCAGGCCTAGACAATTGGGGGTCGCGTCCCTAAAGATGCGGGCGTGGTAGGCGCGCAGTGGGCGATTTGAACGCGGGGCCAGAGTTTAGTCGTGTGTGAGAGCTAGGAATAACTAAGTCTATAAAATCGAAAATCTGAGGTTGGTCGCGCTAGGCTAAGAAGTCCATTCCGCCAACATTGACACACTTGAAATAGGGTTCCTAAACATGGGCGCTGGATTAGAGAGTTCTAGAGCTTGAGAACGAGCTATTGCTAGCTGCCTAGGTATAGCAGATCGAAGTCAATGTCGAGGGAACAAAAAAACCCTAGACATTGACTTCGCGATCTGGTTTAGTTCGAATTGTCGTGGGAGGGAAACTCCCGACCCGACTTAGGGCGCGGTACCCGATTTCGAGTCGGGTCAAATTTCGGGTAAAAAACTGACCCGACCCGACCCGACCCGGTTTCGGGTGTCGGGTCGGCCCGACCCGACCCGCCCGGGTCAACGCTTCAAAATGCCTGACCCGACCCGGGTCAAAACCCGGGTCGGGTCGGGTCGGCCCGACCCGCCGGGGCAGGATGATCATGCCTACTCTCAGGATCCTCAACAGCCTGCGGATGGTCTTCACAGCCAGCGCTGCCTGCACTGCAAGGTTGATCACGTGTGCCAAGCACCTGCGGGTGGCACACAACAGCAATTGCAATAGATGGGGTATGGTGCATGGCACTGGGGGAGGTGAGGTGGCAAGGTGCATGGCATTGGGGAAGGGGAGGTGACATGGTGCTTGGCATAGGAGAGGCAGCATGGTGCATGGCATTGGGTAGGGAGGTGGCATGGTGCATGGCATGGGGGAGGTGGCATGGTGCATGGCTTTGGCGGAGGTGGCATGATACACAGTGTCATAGGTGCAGGGTCTCGACCACACACCCACACACACCCACCCAATGCACACTCCCACACTTAGCGGAAGTGCATGCTAGTGTTGAAGAAGCATAAACCACCCCCCTCCTTCGACAACCTCCTGAATGCTGCAATGTTGCTAGAGGCGTTGTCGGTCGCGAGACCAAGACAGCACCCCTGCAACCTCCACTGCACCATCATCTCCTCCACCACCTGCGCCATCTCCTCGCCAGTATGACGCCCAAGCATCTCGCGGAATTCTAGCACGGCAGTGTGCAGCTGAAAGGTCTTGTCGATCCAGTGACTCGTCACTACAAGCCATGCCTTGCCGTTGGGTGCCGTCCACATGTCAATGGTGAATGACATCTTGCATCCCAACTCCCCCTCCTTCGCCATCAGCTCTGCAACGGCGGCCTGGAGGGCAGCCTCAGCAAACACCACTGTGTCGCGTAACACCGTCCAGCGCAATGGGATGAAGTTTTTCTTTGCGCAGTTGGTGTTGAGGATAACCAACAGCTCTCGAAACTGTAGAGGAAATAGGACAATGACATACAGAGATGGTTTAGAACGGATGGCAATGTGGTGGAGATGGAGTGGCATGACGGCACCATCAGACTTACATATCTCCCCTCAACATCCTCTTCAAACCCTCCCCAGTGTACTGTCCTAAACATGCGCACCATAGCTGGAATGTGGACGGACACTCACCGCCTCGGACTCGACAATGCGGAAGGGAAGGTCGCAGGTGACCACCAGCTTGGCGATCGCCTGCCGAAGGTGCGCCTGAGACAGCTTGGTCGTCATGAAGCGCTCGATCCCTCCAGACCCCTGCTCCCCTCGCCTTGCCTTCCCTTTCTTCTGGGGGACATTGGGCCAGCTCTTGGCGTGCGGCCAAGCCTCAGCGTATCCATCCGGCACACCCACGTACCCCCCTCTAGGAAACGTCTCGCCAGGTAACTGGACCTGTGGAGTGTGGTACCGGTGATACCACACGTGCATGTGCATTGTGTGGTAGCTCTCAAAATGACGCTCGCCTGGTGTGGTAGTGGAATTCTTCCACGAAATCCTATTGGTACAAATCTTGCACTGACGCTTGTAGTCTGTCCCTAGAGGCCCAAACATCTGGACTTGCCACCCCAGCTTCCTCCTCCCCTTGGCATTCCCTTTACTACTCTCGGACCCCCCTGTCCTCGTCAAGAAACTCAGGCGCGATGACACCCTCTCCCAAAGGCTCTCCCGTAAATGTGCATAGATACGCTCTCGGCCGAAGCTTGGGAGCTCTCTTCCTCCGCTTCGGCATCCCAATAGACACTCGCTTCCTCCCCACCTTAACACCCACACTCCCACCTCCTTCCGCCACGTGCTGTGAGGCCGCCTCTACCTCTACCCCTCCACCCTCTCCCACCCCCTCATCCACCTCCTCTGGCTCCAACCCTTCCAACTCGTCGTCTTCATCATCACCCCCTTCCCCACCCCCGTCCTTCTCGGGATCTTACCCCTCCTCACTTTCATCACCGCTCCCGTCCTCGTCCTCCTCCTCCCCGTCCTCACTCTCTTCGTTCTCATCCTCCTCCTCACTGTCACTTTCCGTCCACATCTGGCCTGAAGGAGGGGGTCGGGAGCCACTGTACCGGAACGAGTGGCGGGATGTCGGGCCCGGAACGGCCATCAACCCCCCAACAAAACAAGCACCAACACCAGCGGGCCGTCCCCTACTCGCCCTTGCATGGGTCGTGGGGGTGACGTCGGTGTACTGCTCTCGCGAATCCGAGCACCTTCATGATGACCAGAGGAGGCCATAGATCTAGTCCAAACCCTAAAGTTGAGGTAAGATAGTGGTAGAGCTCGAGTGCCACCAACGCTTGGTACGAATAGCTTGGGAAGATGTCCCGTAAACACTAACCCTAAAAACCTAGGTGTAGTGGCGGATCGAATGCTCAAATGCTTAAGCGCTATGTAAAAAGCCCAACATTCTGGAATTGAAGGCAAAACCATCTCAATGCAATGAAGGTCGACGTACTAATCCTAAGAAGATACGTTGAAAGCCTCCGAACGCTAAGGCTAAGGCGCTCAGGCTAGACCAGGGGCGGGCGCCTAGGAAGATGTGAGTTTGAGCTCATAAAATGAGCTCAAACTCTATTTGGTCGCGGCCAAGTGTTCGTCGTGTTCGACGCGACTCGTCCAGCCGGCCCAGACGAACCTCGAACATGTTCAGGCGAACGTCGAACATGTTCGACCTGAACATTTTTGGCCAAAAAAAAAGCCTGCTTGGTTCGCCTCGAACATGTTCGAGGCGAACTGAACAGGCGTTCATCATTTTGCTCACCCCTACCACCAGGTAAGCCGCCCTCTTCCAGCACTCCTCATCCATGAAATGGGTGCGAACGTTTCCCCCGTCTGCTTCCTCGCCCCCTTTGCCCAAGATCCTCACTCGCCATCTGAACCAACGAGGTTCTCACCTCGCACAGCTGTGAGTTGGGTATGTACAGTGTGCCAAACCTGGTGCCCGCCGGCTTCAGCCCCTGCTTCCCCTTCCCGCCCTGCACCGCCCTACTCCTCGGGTACCCGCGGGTGAAGTGGTGGTTGCGGATGAAACAGATGAGATATACTTCTCGCTCCACAATGCCCCTCACCCACGGCATCTGCCCCACGTCCTCCATGAGGAGGTCGCGCACGTGCGTGGCGCACAGCACATGCTTGGTGTGGGGCCATTTCGCCATGAGCTCCTTGCATGCATTCCAGTGGTTTGACCCTCTGCCCATCCAAAAGGCTACCACATTTTCCAGCCAGACTTTGTCTATGATGAGTATTGAAGCGATGTAACCACCTGTTTTTTATGTCATCTTGCAATCACCAGATTCGGTAATCACGGCACCCAAATCGTTGGTCATAAGAATGTTGGCTTGCAGTCTCTCGTGGTTATCTAGTCATTATATCCAGTACGATTGTCACCCGGAAAAAGTCCTTGCTCGATGCGCATGCGGCATTGGTTAAGGCTAGCCCCTCCCACATAGCGGCGAGTCGGCAGAACGTAACCACTCCCCTCCTTGGCAATTGACATGACCGCATTGTGGGGACAACGGGTGGTCGGTGTGGTGCTCGGGAAGGCGAAGGCCGGCAAACAGCAAGCAGATGGACTTGTCCACCTCAGTCTTCGCACATGCCGCCCGGCCGCCAAGGAATTCAGTGATGCGCCCTTTTCTCACACCTCCAGCGACGGCGCCGAGCACATTCTCTTCTACTCGCGTCTCCTCCTTGCGATCATTGACCTTCCTCTCGTAATGCGCGCGCACTGCCGCACGCACATTGAACGACACTTTTGGACACAGGCGAACGTCGCTCTTCTTACTTGGCGAGGTTCTGAGCGCATCGAAATGCGCCATCCTTGAACTTGTGGCTGCAATGCTTGCAGACACGGATTACGCCTATGGTGTTGGGGCGGAGGAACTTTCAAGTGCTGGAACACCAGATGCATGCTATTCTCCTCTTGCCATTGTGTCGAATCCGAACCTGACGGAACATTCGGATCACTCCCGGGAGATGCGACTGGGGTAGAGATTGATTGAGGAAATGGATCAACAAACTAGGAGAACTACGAAAAGAGTAGCAGGAGAGAAGAACTGACTGAGAATGGTCAGAGTTAGGCTGAAGTTATACTTACACTGTATCTGTTGTTAAGAGCTGGACGTGACTTGTGTTGGAGGCGGCTGAGTTGGGAGTGTGGTAATGTGGGCATATGTGCATACATTGTGGCAACACGATGTGGCACATTATGGCTGTGAAAGTGTGGATCTTGAAATGTTGGGATACATGCGCAAATGCATCAATGTGATACGTAAACATTCCTTCGCATTTTTTCTTTCATAGCGCACGACCCTCCTTCCCTCTTCATCCTCTTCATCCTCCTCCTCCTTCATCCTGGGCTGTTCTTCTTCATCGTCTATTAGGCATGTAAATGGGAATTATTTGAATGGAACATTTCCACCGTCTCTAGGTGCCTTACACAGCTTGCAGGGCCTGAATGTATGGTAGCACTCTTAAGAAATCCCAGCCATGATTCGCTTTAGGGTTGACAATATTGGACGAACCGAATGGCTAGTTGCACTACCTAACCGGATCTGTTTCATCAATATCATTTCTATGTGCCCGCTGTCCCTCTAGCCATGCCCACACGTTCCACCTCTCCAGTCCTATCAGTCTACCTACCTATACACACAGGGATCTCTCGAACAACGCTTTGACGGGCTCCATTCCCAGCAACATCGATTCACTTTTTAATATTAACTATCTGTATGAGCACCTTGTCTTTTGTCAATGTCTCAATACGAAGCAAATTGTTTTGACCTTGTGTAAAGCATGAGAGGAATGGTAAGCACCTTGAACGGGCTGCACTTCAACTTGCGTTCAAAGGGATGGCTGTGTTGCTAGCAACAACTTCCCGTGTTCCTGCTTCTGTAACCAACAGAACCACTTATTATTCTATTCATTTTCAGGGTTGAAGTAAACTCCAATGCAATGATTGGCCAGCATTCGGCACGCTTGAACCTCCATCCCTCTTCATTCATATTCTTCATCCCGGGCTGTAGTTCTTCATCGCTTGTAGATGGGAATCACCTGAATGGATCCAATCCGCTTTCTTTAGGGGTATTACTCAACCATCAATGCCTTAATGTATCATGACAGCAATCTTTGGATATCCCAACCATGATTAACTCTGGGGTTGACAACATTGAAGAACCGCATGGTTTCTTGCAACAACTAATCAACCCTGTTTCATCTATTTCGCTTATGTGTGCTTGCTATCCCTCTGGCCATGCCCACAAGTCTCATCTCTTCACTTCTACTGACCTACCTACTTTCACACACAGAGATCTCTCGAACAACAATTTGACGGGCTCCATTCCCAACAGCTTCTCCTTGCTTCCTGATTTGCAGTATCTCAGTTATCTGTATGAAGCACCTTGTCTATAGTCTATGCCTCAATACGAAGCAACCTGTTAAGATCTCGTGCTAACCACGAGAGGAGTGGTAAGGACTTTGAGGGGGCTGCATAGGAACTCCGACTTGCGTTCAAAAGTATGGTTGTATGGTTGGCCACAACACCCCATGCCATGGTTGTTTCCATTGTTAGAATATACTTCACTACAATAATTGGACATCATTTTTAATCCATGAACATGAACCTCCCACCCTCCACATTGTCCTCTTTCATCACGGGCTGTTGTTCTTCAGCGTCTGTCAGGCACGTAGATTGGAACCAGTTCGCTTCATTTAAAACTGGAGGTCCAAGAGTTTCAAAGTCAGGAAGGTTGGTTGGGACTTGAAATGCAATTGGAGGGCGAGGAGATGGGTTCCCGAAATTGTACAAAGCTGTTCGCCCGATTTTGGGCGACATTAGTGTTACCACTAGGGATGAGCAAAGGGCGAACTCGAACACGTTTGGGTTCGAGTTCGCTCGAACATCAACATTTCCCGAACCGAACACGGTTCGGTTCGGCGAACAATTTAGGGTTCAGGAGGTGTTCGCCGTTCGCCCATGGGGGCGAACATTTGGTATGTGTGGGCGAACTCGAACATGTTCGAACCGAACATGTTCGAGTTCGCCCGTGGGCACTTTCGTTATAGTCACATTGGTCAAACAGGGAATCTGGAGGGTTGGGAAGATAGATAGGGGGGTGGAGGGTGTATATGTGTTCATGCAACGCACACTAGCATACGACACCATCATGTTTTGCCTATATAAAAGTCACTGTCAAATTAAATCCTACGCCTGCACACCACTGCTACTACCAACAACAGCATGCTCCGCGTCAGAGGTGTCGCCAGCACCCACCCCCTCCTGCTCCTCCTCCCCCTCCTCCTCCTCCCACTCGTCGTCCTCCTCCTCCCCCTCGCCTTCAATGGCGAACTCTGGTGGTGCCTCGCCTTTTGCACGGCGGGCCTCGCCTATCCTCTGTCCAGGGTGTGAGGTGTACCATGATCTGAGAATCATGGAAGCTCGCGTCCTCTGAGAGGCTAGGCGGTGCCGCTTCCAGGATATGAGGTTGCGGCCGAGGGAGAACACGCGCTCGCTCGACGCGGACGTGGCAGGGATGGCAAGATAATCCCGGGCCATGCGCCTCAGCGTCTGCATGTTGGTGGCGCTGCGCCAATACTCCAACGCTGACACGTCGCACCGCACCCTCTCAGATAAGTACCTGCCAACCTCGTCATCCTGCACCATCCCACCCCTCCCCGCCTCTTGGCTCGCCGAAAGACGCGCCGCAAGGCGTCGGCGACTAGGGAGAAACTCGGCGTCTTCGTCGTCATCCGCCGCGTCTCCCTCCTCCTCCTCCGTCACTGGGGCAAGTGGGGTCGGCCGAGGGGCAATCGCTGCAGCCCGGGCCTGGTACTCGGCCACGCGTTCGCGGACCAGCTGGATCACCTCGCCTGACGAGGGACGAGGCCTCGCCCTCCGGTCGGTATCGGGATGCAGCGTCTCCCAGTGCGCGTCCTCGAACCACGCCGCCTTCATGGAAGGGTCCAGAAAGGTGGCGATCCACAACTCGTTGCTTGACATCAGTTCATACTTCTTCAAGAGACCCAGCGCCGCCTCAATCATCGGCTTCAGCGTAGCCGATGGCCCCTTGGCAAGGCGCGACTCCATAGCGTCGATCAGGCCGTTGTAGTACGGCAGGACCATCGCCACTGTAGGGTACGCCGCTCCCTCCGCGGCCTTGGAGACTTTGGCGAATGGGCTGAGGAAGGTCTTGACAGAATGCAGAGTCTCCCAGTCTGCGTCCGTCAGGCGCAAGGTGTCCATCTTCGCCTTGTCAGCCTTCGACACGCCCTGTCGGGTAGAACGTATGGGTGGGCGGGTGTTAGGGTGGAAAGTGGGGTGGTTGAGGTTGTTGGAGGTCCGATAAGTTTAGTCAAGCATGGCCAACAGTGGTGCAAGTCCCAGAAGAAAACACCCCGACTGACATACCAACACATAAAACCGCATACACAACACCTGGCACACACACACACCTGTGTCTGGGCAAAGAAGACAGAGATGGGTTCCTGCAGAACCCCAGCTCGCTCGACCATGTTGTGGGTCGACCCCCAGCGTGTGGGACTGTCCTGCACCAGCTTCAATGCCGGCTTCGGTCTGGCGGGGTTGCCCTGCGCGTTCAGGGTCCGCTGAAGGCCCAAGAACTTCCCTGAGCGCTGCGGCGAGGAGCCTATCCACGACGCCATCTCTCTCAGAATCTTCAACAACTTGCGGATGGCGGTCACAGCGAGTGCTGCCTTCACTGCAAGGTTGATCACGTGTGCCAGGCATCTGCGCACATCACAAAACATCAATGGCGGAGAGAAAGGGAAGTGTGAGTGCACATTGGCATAGATCCGCGAAACACTACCACTCTCAAGCCGCATAGGCCCACCCGCCTGTACTACAACCACAACATGTTCACATCACAGGAACGACGCACCCAGACTCCCTCATCGCACATCCCACGCACACTCCCTTTCGTACCGGAAGTGCATGCGCGAGTTGAAGAAGCACTGGCCACCACCCTCCTCCGACATCCACCTGAAAGCGGCAGTGTTGCTGGAGGCGTTGTCTGAGGTGAACCCAAGACAACGCGTCTCCAACCCCCACTGCACCACAGTCTCCTCAACCACCCTCGCCATCTGCTTGCCCGTAGGGATGAGCAAATGGCGAACTCGAACACGTTTGGGTTCGAGTTCGCTCGAACATCATCTTTTCCCGAACCGAACACAGTTCGGTTCGCCG